ATCCCTCTAAATTTATTCAGCTAGGAAATGGTTTCACCGGTACCTAGATTAACCTTAGTGATATAGGCTTTGCATAACTTTTGGTTTTTAAGAACTTACCCAACAAAACGTGTATACTACGAAGTACAATAGTGTTTTAGAATCTAGAACGTAGTGGCTGTAATGCTATATCTACGTAATTACTTTGATCGATTTTTTTACCGACCGATTACGATATCAGGTGGACGTGTGCCATCAGGGCTTCATGTTACCCTTTGTCACCTTTAACTATTATCTATGGACACCTTCATATTTACTTAATTTTATCGGTACCGTTTGGCCAGTACGACCATCTGCTAGATGTATAATGGGTTTGGTTCTGGCTTGAAAAAAGTCTAGTTGTATGGTGTATCTATGTATTGTAATTTGTTCTTGGCCTGGGTGTGAAATGTATCAAAATAATAAATAAAACAGTGTTATGTACTAAAAATTAATACACCCGTATATCCCCAAGCGGTCACTGGTGCCCGCTCTCCGCTAACTAAATTATAGATCTTATTTCCAATGTTTAGAGACTACTTTTGTATGAACAAATTTAGGGGATGATTTTCAACAGATTAATGTATTTTCAATAAAATGTCTATTGTATATATTGTAACTTTCGTGAGACATACTAAATAAATTATAATGTTTTTGGCTTACTCACAACTCACAAAATGTCTATTGGAGATAGTGAGAATATGGGAAGAATAGCTTTCCTCGTCCATATAATTTCAGTAAACACAGCGTTGTTTCATAAATATATTTTAGTTCCACTGATTTGCAAATCGATCGATTCTACGTGAACAAAGTGCCGCAACGTACACAACACACAAATGCTTACACCCTATATTGTACTGTTTGCATTCCTCACAGGAGCGAATTTCTTTTATTCTGATTCAGAACTCGTTCACTTTCGGTGGATGGTTATCTCGACTTCTTTGTTCGATATTGCTTAGATTGGTAAGGTTCTAAGTGCACGCGTCTAGTTGGCCACCTAGAACCTTGTTAAAGTGAGCCGACATCGTGTCATTAGAGGGCGTGAATATTTAAGTAGAGATGGCGGGAGCGGGCCGCGGTTTACTCCCATTCCCGCTTGGGTTATAGGACGGTTGGGATTACCTTCTCATTGAATTAATTCTGTTTGCTGATGAAAAAGGCACCACCAAATTCCATTTCAGCAGAATGGAATAGTTTGCATACACGGGTACCGAGAACCTACTGACAATCGATTGGTTTCTAATGCTATTTTTTATTTTTCAACTTAAACTGTCAAACTCCAAGCGGTCACCGGTGACCGCAACCTATTGTTCTATAATTGTGTCTACAAAACCGGTACTCGACGAGTTAAATAACATCTCTTATCGTCTAAAAAGAAATTTCGTATGCGACTCTGAAAACACTGACGGCAATATATTTTTTACGTAAATATTAAATTAAAATTATGGAATTATACAAATTCATGGAATTCTGCTAACAGACGACAAAAACCATCTTTACAATTTTGCTTACGATATTTGATGTAATGTTTTATCAGTACAAGTGCATTTGGTTTGACCTAATTCTTATGACATAAGCTTCATCCAAAAGCTGCTAGTTGGTTTTGTAACAATAACTGCAAAGATTGACGGTCCATCAATTGAAGTCTCATTTTTCTCAGATGTTTAACAACGGACTAATAAGTCGAATCAAACAACTGCGACTCGTGGGGTTCGAGTGGCGAGTGAAACCGTGAGACACGATAGCCCAGTTGGCAGAGGTGGGCTGTCGCGGGTTCGAAACCCTGTTCAGTGTTCGTGTCATTGTTTTTTCGAAACTTATTCAGTTTTTACCTTAAACAAGCAAATGTATATTTATATTAATTGGGACATTTTGGACAATACTTCTTAATTTTCTTCAGTTTATTAAATGAGTAAAATATATTTACGAATACAACGTACTTTCACCAAACACGTTTCTCAGGCAACAGGAATATAAACAAAACATTGTTTCCTCTTTCTGCAGTCAGTGTAAACTTTGTAATTTCACGGAAACCATTATGCTACACTAGTGTAAATCGAGGTGGACCAATATTGTTACACAATAAAGCTCCGTCTACAGCCTAGTGCACAACTGTTTACCCATATTGCCCATATTGGTTAAATGATGCGGCTTTAATGCCCTCGTAAACCTACAAGACGCATCGCCAACTGTTCCCTACCACTGAGCGAAGCTAATTCCATTCATTATTATTATCTGTCTTAATTGCTATCTCTTAATAACTCCCTGCTCTCGTAGTCTAGTATTTACTTCGTTTACCACCTTCAGGTAAAGTGGGAATACCTTATAGGGATGTCGCAATTACTGCCTTGAAACTTATAATGAAGCCATACAGTCGTCATAACTCAACGTTACGGTTAGTTGATATTTATAAAAAATCCTGTTCGGAAGGTGCTAAACAAACATTTGTACAGACGAAAGACCCTTCGGTCTGTTTGTATGGTTATGATACCAAGATTTTTCCTCTTCGTTCGGCGTGTTGGCTTTGTTTTAATCGTCGTTACATTTTGCCGGCGGAATCTCGCCGGATTCTATTGTTCACGCGCTTTGCGTTACGCAATCAAGAGGGGTCATTCAGTCCGCGCCCAAAAGTCGCACCCGCGAAGTGGAGAACAGTCATATCCTATCGATTTGTTAAGATGGCGTGCGCGGGAGGGTTACGGGGGGAGCATGAGGGTGACGCGGGTGGTAAGGGTGGGCGCAGCCTCCGCGCGGCGCAACGTGCAGCCTCACTTGCACCTGCCCTGCCGTAACCACGACACACTAGCGACATCGCGCCGCACGACCTATGTGACGCTTGTTGTACACTGCCCACCACGTCACCACATGACGTGAGGTCGCGAGCCGCGACACTTTTTATTGATGCCACTTTGTTATTTCGCTACCTGTAACTGCAAACACGAATTAATTGAATATTAATGATTGTGATTGAAATTCAAAAAATATTATTACTTTCTGACGTTAGGAATGATAACCTAACATCCCTTGACCTCTATTAAACTACCTATCTTTGGTTTAAATTAATGCATGCAAGTCTAACTAAACACTAAACCAAAGGCCAACCAAATGAAATAACGAGCAAAATTATGCTTATGCAAGAGTCAAAGTCGAGGTTTTTCTTATTAAAGCTGTCACGTACGTCAAAAGCTAGAAGTAAACATTGTACAACGTCGATTAAACGCGATAGTTGTCGTAGGTCACGGCAATATCAAAGTTGTCGACAGTGTACACGCACCTTTACCCGGGATCTCAAGTCGCGCCCTCGACGACCGCGGCATCCCGGTCTCCGGTGGCCGACGCTCAGGCCGTCAAGGTCGCAGACGAACCCTGGCACACTGTTACACATTCTAACTATACACTTTTAATTGGCCATTATGTGTATACTGACCCTTTTTTCACCTTATTATTCATTAATCTTTTATGAGCTTATACTGTACGCTTGAATAAGCAGTAAACTTTCACTTCGAAAATCATTAATATTGAAAATTTTAATTTACCCGTGTACCTACCTATACGTACGGCTAATACGAGTTTTGAAACAAGTTTTTAGTCGATTGAAGCATACGATCAATGCCCGGTCGAATTTTTGAATACGTAATGTTGTAAAGCAACGTATTTTAATCAATGATATTCTTTGATATATTATGTTATTCGCATCAATTTGACATACCTGATAAAAATAGTAAAGCAATCAATTTCAAAAGTTACAATTGGGTTATAAGATAGGAACTACAAGTTAAGAATTCGTATACACTTGCTTACTGGCCAGGGCGACACTTATCTGGTGAAGTGAAGCACAAAAATAATATTCTCTGCCAAACCAAAGTTAACGTTGAGTGTTTGGAATAAAGTCGAAAACAATGAACTCTCGCAGACCACGAGAGAATCAAAGCGGCAGCAGTGAGCCGTTAAGTTTATTCATTTTCGACTTTATTCCAACTGCGCCGCCCCTAACGCTTCTATGGATTTCCTGTGAGAACTCCTACTTCCCTACTGAGACGTTTTTGTCTACATATTGCGGGGTTTCGCAACAATATGCATATTTGAAACAACTACAACATTTACCCCAGTTTTTCTTTTTTTTTTCGATGTATCTGCACTTGTGTTGATGCAATTCAATAACTTTGTTGGGCTATGCTATTAGCATTTTTTATGAGCTTTATTAAATCTGCCGATATTTGAAAACTAAAAAAGAAAACTTATCCTTTTGGAGTTGGCATATTCTTGTCCCATATTCTTACCGGGTTATGTCAGTTGTGCTATTGAAGATATTTATACCTAGTTCCATCTTATCTTCATCCTTACCTTTCACACGTATTGCACCAGCTAACTCGTAACCAGTGCATGTGATAACTATATCACTACGGTTAAGGCATTAGCTCTTCGTAAAAAGATTTTGAGTCGTTTAATAACATAACATCATGTTTTGATTACGTGTTCCATATGAGTGACCCGCACCCACTATTCATCAAGTCCTGTGTGCTTTTCTGAAAATTGTCATAAACCGAAAAGCTCTATAACTAATACTTTCCCGACTCGCGAACTGAAGTCGGAACCCCGTGTTGAATTTGCGATTTGCGAAAGAACAAAATCATTTTAATATTCGACTTTGCAACAATACCCTGTGAAGGTTATAATTATAAAATGTGTGTGTCGACGTGTCGTTTCCTCTTGCGATATTTAATCATTTACCTTATGAGTATCTATATACCACAACGTGATGCTCGTAAATGGGAGGTTAATATCTGTAATGTAATCACGTAAATCGTTGTCGTTTTAGCTTTTTTTCTAAACTAGGTATCTGAGGAGTTTAGGCTTCCGACTACCGAAACATGGTTGTATCGATTTCAGGCATAAGCCTAATACGTCGGACAAAACTAACTGTTCGAGATATGGATAAACTTTAAGTTTGTAGCCATACTAACTCTTTATTTATGTTGCAGTGGCCCAGTCGGAAGACTCACCAATCGCGATGAAACTCAAGAAAATATGCCTTAAAACGCCGGTCGGCGAGGAACAAGCAGCACAAGCAGTTCTCGACCCTGCGCTAGGTGAGTAAAATCTTCTCCAATCTAACTATTACTCAAAACAACAATGTCATTGTCAAGTATCCAACCATTATTCATACTATCTTTGACTTAAGTAAAGCTTTTGGTTGTATAATCCCGAAAACGAATACAGCTTCTGGTGAAGCATGTTCAAAACATACTCATTTATTTTAAAGCTATGTAGCCGTTAGTGCTAGTTTGCAAAAGGACGTAAAAAGTTGAAACAACTTTGAACCTTCGCTCTTTTTGATTTCAAGTTCAACTGCTTGAATTTCGAAGAGCATATTAACTAGATCTTGTTTTTCTTTGTTGTACCACTCTCAGCTACTAGATGAGTTTGAACTTGGTAGCTGCAACCACACTACGTAGAATGTAGCTTACTGGGGTATTGAAATATTCATTCGTAACCTTAATTACAAGTGAATTATTAAGTATATTAGGAATATGCTCTAAATATTAAGTCCATGTTCATGTATAATGGTAGCATACATAGATTGTACTAACGTGTCGTCGTCCCGTTGATTGAATTGTGCTTTTATTTCCCATCACGCCACGCATCGAGGCTATGATGTCATCGATTTAATTGCGGCGACCACTTCATTACCTACCTATAAAAGCGACATTTATTTCAGTCTTCAACGAAATAAGCTTCAACGAGTCCGACATCGGTCGATCGATCTGTGGAAACTTTACAGTGTCGTTATCTTTTTATGCAGCGCTTGATTTAATTCCCTTTTTCCAATGTCAAGTTTCGATTTTAGCAAGCCAAGTCGCTATTTCTTTTACTGCCGTTTTATATCTTTCGAGTGTAGTCCACCACCGCGGTCGACAGAGTTCAGTATGCGTGACGGGTTACATCACATTTCTCTGTATACACCGTCCACGTATGTGATATATGAAGCGTTGCCTATGTGTAGGTACAGGGTAGACATTCGTGCACAGGTCGTTAATGGTACAACGTGGATCTGTTGTGTGGTACGCGGGTGGAATAACCTATAATTAGATGCGCGTACACCAATCCTCAGTCGTGGAACTCGTAGATGTGTCGTTTACGCTACATCCGTTGATATATTTGATGCAGGAACATTGTCGGATTTGCGGATACCGTAACAACGTCAACGTATGCAATGCACTACTTATGCAACTTATTATTTAATTATTCTATCTAATCAAAGAACTTGACCCCCTTTCCTTTGCGACACCAAATGTCGACCTAAAATCGACTACCTATAGTCAGAATTTTAATTAGATTCCAGATTTGACAATAGCTACTGTCATTTTGTGAAATAATGATACCACATAAAATAGTGTAGTGATGAACACAAAAATCGATAAACAATCAGTGTGTGTGTTTTATAATAAATGTTACAGAAAGTGACAGGATAGCGATAGCGATGACGGCGACAATTTACAAAATAACTTATTACCATAATACATCTATCTGTTTTATTTGTCATGTTCCTTCATGATTGCATTTTTTTATTTATTTCACACACAATTATAAAAGAAAAGTCTCAGATCGTTAATTAATCGTCAAAACTAATTTATCGGTTTAGAAATATTTAATTTCCAAAAATACTTAGTATACGAGAGTAAAATTATAAACATGAAGAATCGATCCAGAAATATTGCATTTCCATATCGAATAATTTCGCAACGTCACTATTTAGTACTTGTCATAACGTTGCAACACTGAAATTGTCAAATCTGGAATCGAATTAAAATTCCGAGTATAGTTAATATTTTTGTTTATATTATTCTGAATTTTGTTCTTTGCTAACAATTTCTCAGTGGTTTACATAATCGGTTAACTCGTTTATTACTAGCCAGACTAGACACGTGCTTGGCCTTTAGAAACTTAAGTTTCTCATAGTTTACTTGGAAAATCACGCTTAAACCTTGGGCAGCAACGAACCCATACAAACATTTGTTGGTCCCTAAGAAGTGAGTGCCTAATCTAAATAATGAACTTAAATGTGGAAAGCATAGTTGAATACGAAGTGTTTAGGTTTTGAAGTATCTACAAATACAGACCAAACTACTTTATCAAGATCGACATTTGCATATCTGACAATATGGCTACCAACTTTGTTATGTTACCATAATGTGTGATAGTTGTGATGATGCATGTCATACTAATTTTTACAAATTATTACAATTTGTAGTTAAATCTTTGTATTACATCTGTAGGCACAAACACCGACGCTAGTACGCTACACTATTATCTGTAGAACCTTAACTCACACATGGCTTATTTTACCTAGCTCGTGTACAATTTGCAGCCGTACAAAGTGGGGGGTTAAGGGGGGTGGGTCTCGCGTATCGGGCGGTGTGATAAGTGACGACTATCCGTCAATGTGTTGCATAGGTGAATGTATGTGAGGTGGTGGTGTATCGGACAATAGGAGCTCGTCGGTGCAGTTTCGGCGGCGGAACGCGGGGATCGGCATGGGTGGTGGCGGCGGCGGCGGTGTTTCTCCGGCGTGCGTGGCACTGCAGTTCTCCTCCACGGCCGGTAATTTGATTGGGCCCGAGCTGTCACCTATGCGCCGCAGTCGCCCGGCCGTCGCTCGCCGGCTATCGATTAGAGCCCCCGCCCCCTGCCCCCGCGCTGCCCGCGAACCGGATCTCGTCACGCCGCCATTGTATACCCGCGACGCTTAAACGCATTCGTTTCTCCCGATGCGAAAACGACGCATTCCTTCCGCGCGCCCTCCCGCCCCGCAACGGCCGACCGCGCGCCACACCGCGCGGCGCCACACAGGACCGACCGACCCTCTCATTACACTCTTACCACATTACCACTCCAAGCCTCACGCTGCCACACCGACCGCGACAAGCGTCATCTGCAAATAACAAAAAATTGACACAATTAATTATTTCTTCCATGAGCTGTTTACCATTAATCCCATTTGCATTTGCCCTTTTCTTCGCTTCATGGCTAATGAATTTTTTGTAAGTTTATGCACTTCGTGAAGCGCTTACTTATCTAGTTAAGTTGTAATCTTAAGCTTGGGGTTGTAATTCTGAATAAATATAAAGTATCTATACCCAGGACTACCTATGTGTATTTATTAATATCAAACTGCAATACTATCAACTGGTTGATTTTGCCATACTAATACTACGAATAAATGACGTTGCAACAACACTGCGCTCGCGCAGATCAACGTACTAACATTGTTGTGCAATTCAGTATTAGGTCCACTTGCACTAACTACTTACCTAAGCTGGTTTATAGACGAAGTATCGTAAAATTTAGGTTATTACTGTGACTTAAGTTATGCCAGTTAGAGTTATCAACTTTGCGTCACTGAGCGGATAGCATACGTGGATGTCTAGATGTCGTAAGGAGCAAGCAAGCATTATCGAGATTATAATGGCACAGTACCACACCTGACCAAGTTCACTAGTTCAGAGAACTGTTGAATATTTTGTCAAATGACAAACAACACGTCTGCACTAGAAGAGTTAAAGATTTAGATTGTCTCAATATGAGAACATGGTAATAACCGGTAGAGAATAATAAATGTATGGTATCCTGTCCAAGAGAAGCCTGCAACACCCTTATTTGAAGTTACAGGAGTACCGTTAACAATAGGACTGTCATTGCATTGCATTTGAGTACCGACATCATGTTAGGTCAGATCGGGAGCCAGACGAGTCAACAAGTAACCTGTTGCTAGTTTGCTAACTATACTCATAGTAGTCCAACTCACACCTTTTTTTTTTAAACTTTTTCTTTTGATCTTGGTAAATGTTAAAAACCTACCTGTGAGACCCGTGACAAACGTGTATCATCTTCAATTTCCTTACACTAAACTACGATATGGGCCACATTTTATAATTATGTGAACTTGCGGTTGTCGAATTTTTTTTTTATTTAGACTGGTTGTCCGTGTTTATTCAGTCGATATTCTTATCTCGATGGCATCCGGGTGTAAGCTATAGGTATACGTCTCTAAGCGTAGTTTATCTGGAAGGAAATGGAACACATACTATTACAATGATGGTACACTAAATTACGATGCTTTATAATGTTCATTATTAGTAAGCATGTTTGTGTCTTCGAAATTACACACAGGTAACAGTAATTTGAAAATCAGGCTAGATACGATTATCATTCCGAAATAGAATAAAAACTTCAGACATCTTGAGGATTGCATTAACGGAAAAGTACATGGATCAATTCAACACGCATCTCCAAATAGTATAGGGTCCAAACATATTTATGCAATATTCATTAGTAACATTTCCGAGTTTCTGACGCTACGCGGTACAAACAATATTTGCCTCACAAAGTTTTTGAATTTAGGATTCAGTGATACCCTCATTACAGACGAACTGGTGACGGTCTCGAGTAACGGTAATCTATTCTTTAACAACTCGTGCAATATATTCAAATATCCTACAACGTCTCACTCGTTTTTGAAGTTCCTACTAATCGCTGTTTTGTAAAACTGGTTTTTAACGGCGCACCAGAAACGTACATAGTTACATGCCATGGAGTAGCGTTGTTTCTATGCCGTGTCAAGAAGATTTTGGTGTGCGCGTTGCTAAATTAAAGTTCCCTCATCGACCAAAATACTTTAAGTAAACGATTCTTCTGGATAGCCATCTCTGTTGATGAATAATTGACGTATGAAGTCAATAGTTCGAATTACAATAGATTTTTATTTAATTGCAATTGTGTATAAAGGGATGAAACCTAGTGATAGTGATACCACGGCCTCACAGAAAACCGACGTGAAACAACTCTTGCGTTGTGTTTCGTCGTGTGAGTGAGGTTACCGGAGGCCCAATTACCCGCTCCCCAGTCTCCCTAATTCCCGAATCCTACACAATCCTCAATTCCCAAGAGGTCGGTAACGCACTTGTAACGCCTAGGTGTTTCAGGTGTCATTGGGCGGCGCCGATTGCTTACCATCAGGTGATCCGGCTGCTCGTTTACCGGCTTATCCCATAAAAAAACACCTGACATCATATCTATGACAATATTGCAA